ATAAAAGAATCGACATAACCGATGAGAAAATGCTAAGACAAAGGGGAATTTGGCGGTTCCCTCTATACATTTGGTATATTCAAATGTATATCGAAATATCGGAAATTTGTTTAAAAATCGTATCACCGTTATTGAAAAAAATTATATCGCGATATATATTGATATCGAATTATTGTCCAGCCCTAACACCTACACACTGTTTGTGTCACACACACTGGATTCATGCACCACAGACGTGCAAATGCAACTTCCCATGTAACCCACTGGTGACAGACCACCTGTTAGACAATGATCATATTCACTCAATTGAGTGCAGGACCCCATTTAATTTCCTCCCGGCTGAATAGTCTGGTACTCCCCTTCCTTCGCCTCTGCCTTGGACAGCTTCAGTGCCTCATACCCTGCGCCTTGTTCTCCTGCTGGGCCGAGGGTGTCGTACACTCCTGCATCCTCCTCTGCCTTAGATGTCTTCAGGGCCTCGTATCCCCCTTCTGCCTCCTTGCCTCCTTCCCCCTTAAGAGTCTGGTACTCACTTTTCCTCGAATCATCTTGAGAAACCTTCAGGGCCACCTTGCTCTCTGGTGTCTGAGACCTCCGCTGTTGTGACTTTGTCTGCATCCGGCCCCTTCAGTGTGTCGTACTCTCCTCTCCTCTCTCCTCTTTTTCCTCCCTTGAGCTCCTCATAACCTCCTTCCCCCTTGTCAGATTTCACAGCGTCTAGTGGCACCTCCTGGTAGAATGCCTCTGCTAAAATTGAGAGAGAATGGCTAAAAACTGAATCAATTCCGAGAAGCACACTAAGCAGATGAACAACTACATATAATTATAAAGAAGGGTATTTTATTAAATAAGTCAGTTGAATTTGACTGCTGTTGGATATTCAAGCATAGAAAGGTGTTGATAAATCAAAGCTGTTACAATGAAACAAAATAAAGACTTACACTTTTGCTTATTTCTACTGCTCCAGCGGAAATATCCCACGGTCAAGATGAGCCCCACTACAATCAAGATGAGCACCATGATCCCCACGATTACACCTGTATTTGAACCAGGTTCTTTTCCTGAAACTGCAGGTGAGAACAAGAGGGAGAATAACGGTGAAGAGAATCTTCAGCTGAAAACTTTGTCTGACTAACAAGGCAGCTTCTTGGTCTCCTTGACCAGAGCACAAGCAACTCTGAAGCAAAGAAAAAAATCTCATTCAGAGACTTGAAGACTCTTTGTCAGTATCTGAAGAACATAGCATGTATGGAATCTGTTTTATCTGCCAGGATTCATGCATAATGCCCTAACCCAACCCAGTCCTAAAAGCAAATCTGCACTGTTCTGTGTGGTTTAATTTAACTGAGCCTCCACTAGACACCTGCTGGCACCTGCAGGATCTCCAGGGGGCGCCATAACTTTAATAGACAAGCTCTCCCATATAGCACCATGTGTCGTGTTGGAATGGAGTCCATAGGTAGATTGACTTGGCATGAATGCAGACTGTTAGTTTTGCACATTATAAAATCACCATCCAGGACTCACCAGAGTATGGCAGACTGAATGAGGAGGCTCCGGTATCCCAGCGAACTCTACAGGCGTACTTCCCCTGGGATAGGGCTGTATTTTCATCTTTTTTATAGTGGCCATTTACAATCTCATAGAATTCAGACTTGCCACCACGCCTGCATTTGCTGCAAGTGCACACAGGATTCCCTGGCGTGTATGACATGACTGCCACTAGAGTCACTTCTGGAGGACACAGGAAATGGGAGATAATCAGAACCAATCAGAGATAATGAAAACCAATCATAGCCAATCAGAACCAATCAGATTGCTTTTATTTGCCATGTAGAAAAAGTACAAGGAGTTTGTTTTGGGGGTAGCATGATAATACAATTTAAACATACCATCAAGTCAAGAATACACAAAAAATACAGCCTTAAAATAAAGAGACAGAAAGAGAATATGAAAATTGTCTAAATGGTCTAAATGAATAAGCATTTAGACATATACAGTACCTGACAAAAGTTTGGACACACCTTCCCATAGAAAGGATTACTGGAAATTTTCCCTACATTTTAGAATAACTAAATAATATAAATAAGACAAAGATGGAATTATGTACTGACCAAAAAAGTATTCAAAAAAGAATAATATTGGGGGGGGGGTAGCTCTGTGGGTTGGAACTCATAAGGTTGCTGGTTCAAATCCCATGGTCGGTAGAGTGATCCCACCATTGAACCCTTGAGCAAGGCCCTTAACCCCAATCGTCCCAGGGACTGTCTGACCCTACTGACTGCTCTACACCAGTTTCATGAGGTGCCTCCTGGGATGCTTTTCCACATGCCCTGATGGAGGTCCCACTCTGGACACTCACTGGCCACTTTTCCTTCACTCTCTGGTCAAACCCCTCAAAACAATTTCTGCTGTGATTAGGTCAGGTGGCCAGGTTATGTGATGCGACACTCTTTCACTCTCCTTTCTAGGCAGTTTGTCCAAACGTTTGACTGATACTGTAAATAAGACAGAACTTACACTCATACACACACTCTCACACTCACTCAGCTGTTTACCTATGCCAACGACTTTCTGAGGCACAGACTTGACAGTGAACTCGCTATTGCTGCTACTCGCTTGGAATGTGAAGGTAGCTTCACATTTGTAGTTTCCTTCATCAGTCTTAGTCATATTGTCAATCAGGTATTTCACACTGTTTTGGGGATGAGTCAGCGTTGTTGTACCAGAATTATTGTCTTTATAGAAAATTACATTACTTATTGTTGGTGCACCATGTGTCACGCATTCCAGTTCTAAATCTTTTCCCAGTTCTGGAGGAGCAGGGTGAGGGACAAGTTTTACCATTA